GTCTGGTCTGTAGTAGGTCCTATATAAATGCTGGTTGCCTTCCCTTCCCCTTCTTCCCCTCCGTATACACCCTTCATTCCCCTGTGTTATCTAAGCCTGCATTGTCTTCTATTGCAACAACTTCTCAGAGCACCCAGCTCCTACTTCTTTTATGTCCTTACCATCGCTACCATGTGTTATTTTGTGTGATAGTTATTTTTCAGGTGCCCCATTCCCCTCTTAGATTTCAGTTTCTAGGAGCCGAGTGAATATAAGCACTTGTTAAGCATTTAGTGTGGTGCTAAGCACTGGGAATATGAAGAAAGGCAAAAACAAGGTTAAGGACAGGAATGAGAGTACCTAAACTTTGTCTTTCCTCTCCCCACCCCCCTCACCTCACACCCCCTCCTCGTTCTCTACACACAGCAGATGCCCAATAGCTATATAGCTGTTTGGGGAGTTGAACTGACTCGAAACCCATCCCTTCTCCCAAAGGTCTCTTTGAAATTGCACAGGGACAGGGACAGAAAGTCCCTGTGTGACATGCTGTGTTGGAGAAAGCCTTGCAATTCTCTCTGCAGTTCATCCTATATATAATCTCTCCCCAGGAATCACTCAGGAGTTAGCAGAAATTTAGAAGTCAGTCCTCAGAAAGGCTCCATTTGATGAGATTGATTGTTAGTTCAGAGCTTGGAGCCAGAGGAGACAAGATTCAGATTAGGTAAATTGGGGGTGAATCGAGGAGAGGAGAAGGAATATGAAGGTAGGTAGAGACAGCTCCCAGATTGCTTAGCATCAACCTAGATTCCCAGGAGTCCTTGAGAGTGATTAGTTAATATGAAACCCCATGAGGCTTTGGGTTGCCAAATGTAGGTAGATAGGTAGAAACAGGAGTAACAGATGACCTCCTCCCCAGTCCTCACCTGCCCCACCCAAAGCTGCATGAGCTTGGCCAGGGAGCTAGGGGAGATCATACCACTTTAATAATAACAGATGCCACTTACAGCTGCTACCTCAGAGTCTGCTCTGCAATGTATCTTATTTAATCCTCACAACAATCTTCGGAGTTAAATGCTCTCATTATCTCTACTTAACACAGGAAGAAACTGAGGCTTAGTGCAGTTAAGTGACTTGCCCACAGTCACACAAGAGGTAAGGGTTAGGATGCTGAATTTGAACCCAGGTCTGTCCTAACTACAAGTCCTGTGCTTTTAACTTCAAGGTACTTCCCAACTCCAGAAACTGCACTTGCCCCTAGGGCCTACTTGCACGGTCTCCTATAGGCACTGAAGGTCCACATAATGCTAGCCTATTTCTATGGTAATTTTAGGGGTACAAAATGCTTTCCTCACAACCACCTTACAAGATAAGAAGTGCAAATTTTTTTCTTTGGAGTGCAAATTTTTTCATCCCAATTTTATAAGAGAGAAAATTAAGAACCAGAGAAACTCAGGGCCACAAAGCAGTGTGTCAAAGCCAGGATTCTTTGAACTTTGATGACCACTTATTTCCTGCTTGTCTCCAGCATCCTCTGTTGGGGTGCTCATTCACCTGCCCCATCCATATACCCTGCTCATTCTCACCCTGGGACTTTGGTTACCAGGGAAGCAAACCCTGTGGACAAAAGGCCAACATCCTTGACAAATGCTGACCAACTACCATGTGTGAGACAGGCGAGCCAGTCTAGCTGAGGCAGCAAAAGGCATCCCGAAGGAAAGACAGGAAGTAGCCTGTCCCAGCTGAGTCACTGGCCACTACTTTGACTATCACCTCCCCTCAGATCCTGATGGTATCAGCCCAGGACTCTGAGCCCAAGAGCCTTGGGGACAGCCCTCAAGACCACCAGCTCTACTTGGGTCCACCCTTGTGGCCAGCATTCCAGACAGTAGCAATGCCTGTGGAGACGTGACCAACAACTGGTGCCTCTTCTGCAGTCACAGCTACTAAAGACCCAAAAAGAAAGTTCTTGTCACCAAAATCTCTGGCATTGTCAAAAGGTTCAACATAAAAAATGAACGTGGTTTTATTGGAGGAAATTACATTAAAGAAGATGTATTATGCAGCTTTGCTGCTGCACCCTAGCGACCATGGCACCTTCCCATCTGACTTGTAGCTGAAACCTTCCCTATGTGTCCTCTCTCCATTAGAGAAGGAGCTCCTTAAAAACCTGGATTGTCTTCCTTCCCCCTTTGCATTCTGTGGAGAGAATTATGATTTTATAGTAATCGATATGATATGTGTAATGAATATACTAATACATTAGATTTTTATAAAAATCATAATTCCTTCCATAATTCCTAGAGCTTCGCATGGTATTTTGCACACTGTGACAGCTTAATAAATGTGTATTTATTCATTATTTTATCCCCTCCAAATCTTCTCTATCAGCTCAAACTCTGCCTCCTCCCATAAATTTCCAAC